TGGGTGGACCGATTTCGATGAGTCTTTTTGTATATGAAAGCTGATACTCGTGTGGTCCCATATGAATTTGATCAAGGTCAGACCAATAGTTTTTGAGTTATTTGAGTTATTTTTAATAACTAATATTGAAGTAGGCTGTACAAAATTTTTAATTTTAAATTATCCGTTGATCAATTCCAGCCGTCCTTTCTCAATTTCTTGCTTGACTCACATTAGTTGTTGGCAATAGAGATCCAAATATGTGATTTTCCCATATGAATTTGATCAAGGTCAGACCAATAGTTTTTGAGTTATTTGAGTTATTTTTAATAACTAATATTGAAGTAGGCTGTACAAAATTTTTAATTTTAAATTATCCGTTGATCAATTCCAGCCGTCCTTTCTCAATTTCTTGCTTGACTCACATTAGTTGTTGGCAATAGAGATCCAAATATGTGATTTTGCCGGCGGTAAAAGCTCATAATAAACAATGCCCTTCCACTCCCACCATACACACAGCATCACTTTATTGCGTGTTAATCCGTGTTTCGCTACAGTCTGTGGAGCTTGACTACCCTTTGATCATGATCTTTTTTTCACATTCTTGTCGTAGGTGATCCAATTTTCATCACCAGTGATCAATAGAGAATCGCAAATGAGTACACGATTCATTAGACGCCCATTACACGTTAGGTTTTGCTGTCAGTTTTACAACAATCACGGTTGTGATTGACGAATAACCTATCGTGTAATGCGGTGATTGACGGTTGCATGAAATTGATTGACAAATATCTGGATATTTTGATTTTTACGTCAATCAACTATCAGTCACGAATTTTGATTGAACGTGTAATGGCATTTAGTAAATCACGCGTCAGTCAACGCTTAGACAGCAATGGAGGCGGACGCAGAATATATTGAAGAGGCTGCTTCTACGCGCTCGCGCAGCCCGTCGCCACTCCCACCAAATGTGTTTCAGCCAGAAAAAGATTTTATTTTAAATTTTCAGTCTCTTCTCGAGTTGTGGGACACGAAAAACCCCGGGTAGGTTGGATGCCCCTAATACCAACCACGCCCCTAATTCCAGCCTTTCCGCCTTTTTACTTCGTAAATAAGATTTCTAGTAGTCTTAACTACAAATATGGTCGGCTAAAAATTCTTCGTAATTAGAGGAAAGTATATTTCAAATATTACCTTACAGTTTTAAACCTAACAGTGTTAAATTAAAAATCAAAACATAAGCCATAGAATTATTACGTAATAATTTTATGACATAAGCATATTTTACATTAGCTCATCTTTAGGCTTTTTGATTTGTATGAATGTGACTATAGACATTTTCTTTTAGTGGAAATTAATGGGGCTGTAATTAGATGTACGAAATTTATGGAGTGCATATTGTCAGTCGCCCTACTGTTATTTGGTTTGACGTAAATAATAAGAAGTACCTTATTTTAACCACGTAATATAAATCAGGGCTGTCATAAACTAGAATAAATACCATTAATTTGAACTCACACAGAAAACCAACGTAGAATAGCAGCTTAACGCTGCTGTGTTTCGTATGGTGAGTGTAGAGAACCGGAGACCTTTTTTACTGGCAAAGAGGCATTCTATCTTAGTCCTCACGGGTGACAACGCATCTGCATCTTGAGTCTATATTGAGGATAGATGTAGATGTCTATGGGTCATAGTAGCCACTTACCATCAGGTGGACTGTGTGCTCGTTTGTCACCCTATCCTATATAAAGAAAAAAACATAACTTATTTTATAGTTAAGTAAGTTATGATCAATTCGTCTATATTTTAAAATTGGTGTTTGATTTAAAAGTTTAGCAAATGATACGTACTTGCTTTTCAGACATTTGGTATATGTTAAGAACACCATACAATATTTAATTAATTTTTGAGAAAGACAAAAACAAACAATAAATGTAATTAACTACAACTTAGTAATACTAATTTTATTATAACTTAAGAACATAAATGAAAAAGTCAAAAAAAGGAAAGTGGTTCAGGACCATGCTTTGCGGCTGTCTATGGAGGATGATGTTCTGTAGTCGACTTGTGAAGGGCTGTAATGATGATAAAGATTCAAAAACTTAGATGATTAAATTATAAGAAATCGGTGTACTATAATACATAATTTTTAATATAATATTGTTTTAATTAATTGTTTAGTGTTAAAAGAAAAATTTAACTGCTTAAAGCTAAACCACAGTAAGGTAAGAAGTAAAATATTAAAATAAAATAATTGTTGTCGTAATACATATTCCATACTTGTGACATGCATGATTTAAAATTAAAAGTTGTTATGAATTTATTTCAGTGCCCCTAAAATTTACCTACAATAGGTACCTACCAAAAACTCAAAAGGCATAGCCCTATGCTATGCTGGCATTAGATATACAAAAGGAAATTGAAATTGACACTAAAAGGCTGGTAATAGGGACATCCACCCTGTACGAATAAATGTAAAAGTTAAGCTTATTTTTCGTCCATAAATGCGTTTCAAATAAAGCCGCGTATCGATTATGCACTCCAAGAGGTCTAACATTTGCGCGCGTTAAATTAAAATGGGTAAAATGATATTAAATATTAGAATTTTTCCTATTCGTTTTTTTTCTTTTTCCTTTCAAGATATAAAATTATAATTAAATGGTGAATCGAAAATGAAGTTAGTTTATAGGTACGTCCTTTCCCTCCGAAAATTTGGGTTTGACTGACATCAGTCAGCATGAGCGTGTAATGTCGAAATTATTCTATCATACAAACGTTAATCATGATTGATCGAACTGATTGACGCTTGCCTAGGCGTGTAATGGGCGTCTTAGGTTTCTTTCAGTGAGCTCTTGTGGCATCCAAATATCGAGCTTTTTTGTATAGCTAGACTTTTTCAAATGGGGTCAAAACTGTTTTGTGGTCAATCCTTAATTCCTCCGTGTGTCGTAAATACTAATATGCCGATCTTGCACCACATTTTCAAAAATGGCACCGACTTTATTCGTATTAGGGCGACCAGAGCGAGCTGCATCTTTGACATCAAAATTCCCGGACTGAAAACGCTAGAACTTCTTGCTACTCTTACTGACACTGCATTAGGTCCATAAACGACTCAATTTTTTTTTCGCGGCTTGAGTCGCATTTTTCCCTCTTTCTGCCGACTTCCACAAAGGAGACGGTACTCAATTCGACTGTATGTTTTTTTATGTGTGCTACCTCATAACTTTTTATTGGGTGAACCGATTTCGATGATTCTTTTTTTTTATATGAAAGCTGATACTTCTCGCGTGGTCCCACATGAATTTGATCAGACCAATAGTTTTTGAGTTATTCTTAATAACTTATATTGAAGTCGGCTGTACAAAATTTTTAATTATTATAATAAAACTTCAGAATGTATCGAATTTCTTCGTTAGATTCACTCATTTTGGCGAGCAGAAAAACAATTTAAAAATGGCGGGAATGTGTTTTTTTTTTAATGTCCTATATGTATTGATTGAACCAGCCAGATACAAAGAGTACAACCAAAGAGATTTTTCTTCAATTTTATACAAACAAAATACCAAGAAACTTTCCCCGACCTATTATATATATATATATAATAATAATAATAATTTTTTGTTATTTTGTTATAAATATTTCTAAAAATCCAATCAACCCAAAATTAGTATTTTTGTGATAAATGGTTAATTTCATAAAAACCTTCGCTATCAAATTAGAAAAGGAATCCTAATAACTTTTTATCGTGAACTAATATCAAAATGCTATCATACTACATACTAAAGGCAAATATTTTTGTAAAAGCATTATCAAATGTTACCTTGTCAAGGGCCCGATACATTAATTATCAAAGAAATAAATTAACTTATGCAATTTTTACAATAAGAGTAAAGAGGACACGTTTTTTAAATAATTATGATAGAATATATTCAACATAGCTTATAAATAACACTCACTGAAAGTCATTTTTCACTTTTACTACTTGAAGTGGCTTAGATAAAATCCTTGGCGGGTTTTAAATATGATCTTTTCAATTATTTTAAATGAACAATACTAAGTTGATTAATTGATACAATAGCTCTCTTGCTGACAATAGTTCAAGAGCAAGTGAAGTCCTAACACATTTCTCTCGCCTCCTTCACGCCCATATATATTTACACATACATGCTCGTCGGAAAACGGTTCTCTTAATTTGGCCCATCTTCAATGTGGCGTCGTCACAATGCAGTATTAGTTAAGTAGTGTTATTATTTACACCTGGTGAGCCACAGTGCAGCTATATTATGGTTGTGGTACGAATGGGTCGGCTCTACAGGGTTAGGACCACGCTCTCACAGAATACCAGCGTAAAATAGCAGTAATGCTGTTGTGTTTCGTATGGTGAGTGTGGAGAATCGGAGACCCCTTTTTTACTGGAAACGCGACATTCCATCTTAATCCTCAGGGTTGTCAACGTGTCTGCTTTTTCTGCCGACGTCCAAAAAGGAGACGATACTGGATTCGACTATGTTTTTATTTTATTTTATTTTATGTGTGTTACCTCATAACTTTTTACTGTGTGAACCGATTTCGATGATTCTTTTTTTTTATTTGAAAGCTGGTACTTCTCGTGTGTGGTCCCATATGAATTTGATCAAGGTCAGACCAATAGTTTTTGAGTTATTCTTAATAACTTATATTGAAGTCGGCTGTACAAAATTTTTAATTTTAAATTATTATTCTTAATCTAGGATAAATGCAGATGTCTATGGCCCACAGCATCCACTTACTATCAGGTGGACTGTGTGCTAGTTTGTCAATTATTTAAAAAATTTAAAATTAACTACTTAAAAATAATAGTTTAATAAACACGCTTTTGTAGAATTATTTTGTAGGATATTATAGCAGATACGTCTTAATGTGAACGAGATCCATAGCGAGGAAAATAGATGTGTTGTTGCAGCATTAAACTCTCAAAAACATTATAAGCTATTGAATTTATGTAACAATCATAAAGTTATACATTTATTTTGTCTTAGGTTCCTTAATAGTAGTAGGATCGGCGTTAGTTGTGTGGCTGACGGATTGGCAGTACAAGTACTACCTCGACCCGGCGCTCAGCATAGTTCTAGTCATCTTGATCCTCGTGTCAGTGTGGCCTCTGTTGAGGGAGTCCGCGCTCATTTTGTTGCAGACCGTACCCACGCATATACAGGTGAGTCAGAATAATGAACTTTATTTTTATGATAGGTAATGTGATGACCACGAATACAACATTATAACAAATATCGCCCCTATGAGGCAGTACATAGGGAAGGCAGAGGCAAGCTATCTTCTACTACAACTACTGAAGAAAGATGTCGTAGGTTTCTTAGGTCATAGGCCACACCTTAAACCACTTATCATCAGGTCGGCTGAGTACTCGTTCATCACATTATTGTAAAAAGTAACACGTGGATTAACCAGGGCTGCTGACTTAGCAGCAGAAACAGAAACAAAAACTTTTTTATTCAATATAATATTATAAATATGTTATATGATAATAGAGAATAGAGAAGTTGTCTATAGGCACACACAAAAACAGAAACTTTTTTATTCAATATAGATTGTAAATAATACTTATTATAAGTCACTCTTTTGTTTAATTACCACTGGTTCGAATACAAACTTCTGTCCTGGGAAGAACCCGCAAGAAACCCAGCGGGACTTCTTTGTCTTTAAGTAACAGTACAATCATGCTTAAGATAATGTCCTCCAGACCGAATTTCTGTCACAGCGCTCACAGCCTCAACGGAGACTAGCAATCGGCGCGGGACAGGATTATAGTGCCCATATGTATCGCAAGCACAGATTCATTCTCTATTCCTTCACTCTCATATAGTCCGATGAGACGGTAAACCGACACGACGGCAGAGCGATCAGGCGCAGGACCAACTGCTTTACGTGCTTTCTGAGGCACGGGGATGAGACACCGTCGATTTCCTGCTCATGGCAGCTACTGAGAATTTCTTGACAGAAAAAAACTGCATTTCCCCGCTGAATGGCTATACTTAGCCTTTGAACGAGAAAAGAGCCAGCTCTCCTATCACCAGCAGCAACGACCAGCCTCGGATAGAGTTCCTTTAGGAAATTCACCGCACGTGGACCCCACGGACCGATAGTCTCTACAGCAAATGGCACAAATATGTAGTCATCGCTCAGAGACTCATATTTGCGCCACTTACTCAGTTCAGCTGCCTCTGATGCCGCCCCGGCTCTAAACAAGCTACCCCCCTCACGCCAAAGTGTCTACGCAAGTAGCATCCCACACTGGGGCTTTACATCTCTCCCGAGGGACCAATGTCATACCGTCGGGTCTCCTGCCATCGTCTCTAAATATTCCACAAGGCTCTAAGACCGAGGGAACATTTATAGAGACAAGAGCTCTTCGGATGACATCGTTCAAAGAATCGTGCCGTGAAAACCTACCAGCAATTTTCTTACATAAAAGTCCGTGGGGCCCAAACTTGTCGACGCTACTACCACAGGGATACACACTCATGGGGTTGGCAAATCGCCGCTCTTAGTCGGATTCCTACGGCAATGCGCAAGCTTTCCCCATCAAGCAATGTGCCGAGATTACTTGATGGTATGACGTGTAACCAGTGACAAGATTCTTATTTTTTTTAACTCGACCTGGGATTCGAACCCGAGACTTCGCGATCAGCAATCGCGTTTACAATCACTACACCAACGAGGCAGTCAAACATGTATATTAAACAATTAACAACACATATTTATCCATCAAGTGTTTGATCGGGACATGCCACGTGTACAAAATGCGTGATGTTTTTACTAATATTTGTCTTACTTCAAATGATTGATAAGCGTTCGTCAAATGTTTGCCCAGGTGGATGCGATACAGAGGCGTCTGTTGGAGAAAGTCGACGGAGTGCTCGCCGTACACGAGTTCCACGTGTGGCAGTTGGCGGGAGATAGAATAATTGCTAGTGCACATATTAGGTAACGTATTTACTTACTGTTTATTTACTTATTTAACGTGTCTCAACCGTACTTTTAAAAGTGACCTCAATTCTAGGTTGATTTCTAGAGATAATTTTCTCCTGTATAGTAAAAGTGTTTCACTTTAATTGCAAAGGGATTAGTAAACTGAAGTGGCAATGGGCCGTCCATGTAGTTCGAAGAACCGACAACCGATGGGGAAGAAAGGTTCCCGAGTGACAGCCTCGTACCAGCAGGTGAAGTGTAGGAAGTCCCCCCACTAGATGCAGTGATGATGAAGAAGAGAGTGAAGTCGATGGATGCAGGTGGCTCAGGACCGCGCTTTGTGGCATTCCTTGGGGGAGGCCTATGTTCAGCAGTGGGCTTGTGAAGGGTTGTAATGATGATGGTGATGAATTGTTTATGGAAAAACACATAGACCTAAGCCATGCTAATAGACATATTTTTATTAGTATCGACACACATAAAATTCACAGCAACAATAACAAATACATACACTACAAAAATGGCATAAATTAAAAGTAAATTTTCAGCCTAACACGGTTCACTGCTGCGCACAAGACCTCTTATAAATAAGAGGAGGTCTTGTGCGCATGGCAGGCATAACAGGCTCTCTACATGTTTCTTACATTTCCTCACTATGTTTTCCTTCACCGTCGAGCAAGTGGTAAAATGGTACTTAAAATTGCATTGAAATTGTTAATTACAGTTTCTTTGTGCATAAAAAGCTGCATGTCTGAGAAATAAGGAAAAAAACCGACGGAAATTTCCTTGCCCTCTAAAACCCTCTCAGAAATGAGAGGAGGCATGTGCCCAGGACGTAGATAGGCTGTAACTTTAAATATAACTTTAACAATTTCGTTGGTGCCAGCGGGGATCGAACCCGGTTTGCTCGCATACTGTGAAATTTACAGATCTTAGCCCCTGATATACCGCGACTCGATAAAAATTGCCATTTATGTTTACGTGTACGGCTTTTACGACACCTATGGAAAGAAATGGGGGTGACGTATTATTTCACGCCACAACCACATGTCTGGTTATTTCTTGCCTAAATAAACCCGACATTTCCCAGCTGCATAGGATGGACATAGGTCTGGACATAGGTATTCTATGCCAGGTATAGACGAGGTCATACTCCCATGTATACGAACCCATGTGACCTCTCTGTGGGATTCCATTCTACATAGGCTGCACTTAAAGTATCAGGAAAGGAATATTTCCACTGTTCCTGTCATATTAAAATCTTTTTAATTGAAAAATTCTTGGTTTTAAAAATCGAATACCATTTATTTATTTAAAAGAAGATTCTCGGTCTTGTCACAAGGTTTTGTCAAACTTGTTTAGTCATTGAGAAAATGGAATTGACTCGAGAAAATTCAAGAGCGATGATTTATTATGACTTTCGAAGTGGTTTAACACAAAAACAGTGTGTTTACCGGATGATTTCTGTATTTGGTGATGAAGCCGCATCCAAAACCACAATTTATCGCTGGTTTGCTAAATTTCAACGTGGACGTGTCAAGCTCAGTGATGATCCCCGTCAAGGTCGTCCAAAAACTGCAGTCACCCAAGAAAACGTTGATGCTGTGCGTAAGCTGATTGAGGAAGATCGACATGTGACATACCGCGAAATTCAGGCAACTTTAGACATTGGCATGAGTCAAATACAAATAATTTTGCATGAACAATTAGGTGTAAAAAAGTTGTTTTCCCGATGGATACCGCATTCGCTCTGTGAAGAGCAAAAAGCGGCTCGCGTTCCTTGGTGCGTCAGAACTCTCGAAAGATTCCACGCAGGATCCTCAAATGCTGTATACAACATCGTATCAGGTGACGAATCCTGGATATACGCGTACGAACCCGAAACAAAAAACCAGTCACGAGTTTGGGTGTTTGAAAATGAGTTAAAGCCAACAAAAATTGTTCGTTCACGGAGTGTTGCAAAAAAAATGGTGGCCACGTTTGTCTCCAAAACCGGCTATGTTACGACTATTCCTCTTGAGGGACAAAGAACGGTTAATGCAGAATGGTATGCTAGCATTTGTTTGCCACAGGTCGTTTCTGAACTCCGTAAAGAGAACTGCAACCGCCGCATCATCCTCCATCACGACAATGCAAGTTCTCACACCGCACACAGAACAAAAGAGTTTTTAGAGCAAGAAAACATAGAATTATTAGACCATCCGACGTACAGACTCGACCTAAGCCCTAATGATTTCTATAACTTCCCTAAAATAAAGAATAAATTGCGTGGACTGAGATTTTCATCACCTGAAGAAGCTGTGGACGCCTACAAAACGGCCATTTTGGAGACCCCAACTTCCGAATGGAATGGTTGCATCAATGATTGGTTCCATCGTATGGAAAAATGTGTCAAATTTCGCGGAGAATACTTCGAAAAGCAATAAATACATTTTTAAATAGTAATGTTGTGTCACTTCCTTGATTCCAGAAATTTTCAGTGCCGCCCTCGTACGTAATGGGGTTATTAATTCTCTTTGTATCTCATTTCCTCAAGTATATTTGAACTTTGTAGAACGATAGATATTGTTTTATAGTTGTACTCGTTTTAAACAGATAAGCAAATCCTTTTGAATGTGACCCGATAACGTGCGGCGTCGGTTTGTGGGCATTAACTTATCTTTTGTGGGGCTAACAATGCTGCATTTGTGTTTACAATGCAGTTGTAGCACTCGAAATAGACTATGAAATAGAGCTTCATGCGCAACCATAAATTATAATTGTAACGTAACGTGAAACTAGCCCGTTTAAGTATCCATAATAATTATTTCCTCGCAATCTCCGACAAAGAAAGGAAGACGGAGCGCTGCGTACATACATTTCAAGGGATGCAAGAACCAAACTAAAACCATCATTGAGTTTTTTTTTTATAGGAGAGAAGGCAAACGAACATGCGGCTCACCTGATGGTAAGTGACTACCGCCGCCCATGAACAACCGCAACACCAGGGGAATTGCAGATGCGTTGCCGGCCTTTTAAAAAGGAGTAGGCTCTTTTCTTGAAGGAAGAAAACATCTTCTAAATCGCACAGTGGTGGACCGCCAATCATCCAGGTGATATGGATGGTATGGTGAAATTGAGCGGCTGGAATTATTCCGAACAATTCCTCAGAGCACTCACCGTGGTAAATGCGATAAAATACGCAAAGAGATGCGACATCTTCGTGAAGTGCCAGTGTATCGATCCGATCAGAAAGAAATCAGTCGTCGACGATTCGAACCGCTCTGCGCTGGATGCGGTCAAGTAGAAGGAGCTGGCACTGGGGAGCCCCAGCCCAGAGATGGAAACAGTATTCCATGTGAGGCCGAACCTGCGCCTTGTAAAGTTGCAAGCGGTGTGCTGGCATGAAATACTGTCCCGCTCTGCTGAGCACGCCAAGCTTTTTAGAGGCCAATTTGGCCTTCCCTTCCAAGTGACCACGAAACTGCACGTCACTCGATATGTCGACACCGAGGATACCGATACTGGCTAGGCTAAACTAAATAGGCAACAAGGGGAGTGCCTTGAAACTGAGGAGATACGACAAAGGGGTTCTTTTTAGCGGTAAACGCGCAAACTTGTGTCTTCTGAGGATTAAACTGGACTAGATTTAGTCGCCCCCAATCCGAGACTTTGTCCAGCAAAGACTCGACTTCAGACACAAGTTTGTTTTGGCACTCGGTGACGTTTTCCCGCGAAATATATAATACTACGTACTAGAGAAGCTATTCCAAACAAAAATTGTGCGCTACTCTATGTCTTCGCGCATGACGCATTTAATAAGGATTCTAAAATGGTATAGCACTTGCTACATTATTTCTTAGGTTACAGGGAAAAAAATTCTTCAAGAATCCCAGATTTGATAAAATTCTTTTTAACTACTAAAAATTATTTTAGTGTAACGCTTGCCATGGGAGTAAATATGATTTTAGTTTGAGTGAGAGAGAGAATCAATCCATGAAGTGTGAGTGAGACAGATAGTGACGCATTCGAGTCATACTTTTTCTTAAAATTAGGATAAATTTTCCTTAAGTTGAAAATTAAAAAACAATTATTTGGATGCTGAGATTTTTTTACAAAAGGTGTTCAAATTGCTTTCCTTCAGCTGCAATATAAGCTCGACATCTTCCTAAAAAAGACCGGGTTATCAGACGGGCAAATCTTCCTTTGTTGACAAATTCAGCTGTTTCCGTAATTCTTTGCCGAAGCTCAGCTAAATTTTCAATCGGCTTTAAATAAACTTTCTATTTCACTACTCCCCAGTAAAAAAATCTAAGGGATTTAGATCCGGGGAACGGCCTGGGCACGAGATCGTACCAGACCGCCCTATCCATCTGCCCGGATATTCTTCATTGATATAATGTGTTATGGAGCGGGCATAGTGAACTGGACAGCCATCTTGCTGATACCACATCCTTCTGTAAATACTTACTGACACGTCTTCAAGTAAATTAGGTAAATGGTTTTGTAAAAAATCTAAATAAATTTCAGCATTCAAGACCTCTGGCAACTCAAAAGGTCCTATGACTCTTTCGTTTAAAATTCCAGTCCACATGTTTATTTTAAAACGATATTGACATCTGTCTTTTCTCATTAAATTCGGATTCTCTACGTGCCACTCGTGTAAATTATGTAGGTTCATGTAGGTAACCGTATTTTTTAAATGTCGATTCATCCGTCCACAAATTTTTTTCTAAGAAATGCGGGTCTTCGCGGTGTCTTTGTAGCATCGTTTGGCAAAATGCAACCCGACGTTGATAATCTTGAGGTAGCAGGGTTTGTACTCTCTGTACATGGTACGGGTGTAACTCATTTTTTTTGTAAAATTCGGTGAGCTGTACTTTTGGGCACTAAAAATCGAAAAAAAAGTAAAGATTTGTAGCTAAAGGAGCTACAAAACCATCACAGGTGTACATTTTACTAAAAAAAGAAAAAAAGAAATTACTGTAATTTAAAAAATACATGACTAAGATTTTTTTTATATTGTTCTGGTAACT